TCACGTGATTAAAAAAACATAAATTGAAGGTACCCAGTCAGTGAGAATTTACGACGACTAGCATTTGCTAAACGAGTTCACGGCGCTCGAATCATTACTGTAGCGAAGTACAACGTTAGAATCTCAAGTTCTTTAACATGAAATAACTCCGCTGTAATTCAAGCTAAAATATCAACCAAACAACTCACTTACCAACTTCTGCAACTTACTAAAACTATTCAATCACGCTATTGAATCTTATGAAACTCAAGTACGAACAATACATTCAACTACGAGCAACGAAAAGAAACGGAACATTCACTTCTCCAACTTCTTTAAAGCTAAAAGTTTATCAACATATTTTCAGCTTTACAAGATTCTTTAAACCCTCTTTCAGTGAACATTTTGAACGACAAGATAATTCAACTTTTTGTGAGCTAAGGTAAAAAAATAATTTAGTAGAAAAACTTTAGCCCAGTCAAAGGGAAGTAACTCATATTAATAGTTATTGTAAAACTGTTATCATTTATAAATATAAATATTGTACCTGTTATGAAGAGTAGTTTTCTTGTGTTCTTTCTCTTGTTTGCTTTTTGTTTTCTTACACATTCGTAAAGTTAAAAAATGTGTGGGTTGATTTATGCCGTCAATACCACTACAGATTCAATAACACCGACGCCACATTTGATGAAAAGATCAGGGTTAGGGATTTTGTCCTGCCGTGTATAACCGCGTATTGAACTAAGACAGCGTTTATGAAAAACTGATGTACGTCTTGTATGATGTCCACGATTCTGACCCATAAAGAAGTGCGGTGAGAATGACTGTTCGATAGACACTGATTTTCATTTTCAGTGAAATCCCACGAACATACCTTAAGTGATGCTTAAGCTTCCCAAAGGCATTGGTTGCCTTTGATATTCGGTTAACTATCTTGTCATCAAAAGAGGCACTTGAATTTACTTTGTTTCCTAAGTAAGAGAATAATTTGATATATTTCAGTAATGGGAACGATTGGAAAGGTATGGGAAGGTGTTTTTTTGTCTTACACACTTGACTTGCTTAGGTGTACGCCTTGGTTGATGGACAATTTCAGTTTTCTTTATTGCTTATAGTTAATCCGAATGCGTTGCAAGCGGTAGAAAAACGATTAACGAGTGCGTGAGCTTCTGCGATTGAGGTTGCAACGATTGCAGCGTCATCAGCAAACAAAAGATCACGAATTATGCTTGCTCGAGTCAGCGATTTTACTTCATATATATATATATATATATATATATATATATATATATATATATATATATGTACCTTAAAAAAGTGACACCTAAGACTTAAAAATGAAGAACTTTCTTGAAGTCTTTATTTTAGTTTTAATTCCAAGTTGATAGATTAAATTTAATATTTCCAATAAAAAAAATATTTTGCCTTATCTTAAAACTAATTTAAATTTAATGCAATGTGTTTTTCTCCAATTATCAACAAAATCAACGAAATCGTTCACATTGAAACATCTGTCAACACAATTCTTTTTATTTAAAAATTCTTTCAAAAATAAAATATAATTTTCGTAAATATTATTTGACAAAAATTAGCAGATTTAAAGTTTAATTAGTCTGAATTGAATCAAATATTAATTTTAATTTAAAATATCGCAGATAAGCAGTTTTTAACACCAAGGTTGGTGTTTTTTATGTGGTGTTGAGACATTTATCGACCGCCTAATTTTTGGTTAATTTATGTAAGGGGGAGATAATTGTAATAAAAGTACATGAATACAACGTAAATGCCTTTTATATAGAAAATTTTTGAACTACACAGTAATACTAAAAAATCAAAAAACTCAGATTTTTATTGAATTTTAGGTATTTTGGCATTACAGTTTTATTTCCGAAGACGCTTGTTGGGGAAATAGAACATTACCAATAAACTTTCAACTTCCTATAGTTATCGCTCTTGTTTTCTGATAATGACGTGTATGGATTTGGGCACGCTTATACAAACACACAAAATTCAAAATTCTTTTTAAAATACTGGGCGACGTTGCATTGTAGTAAGCGTTTCCATTTATGATTAGTAAACACAGTTTTTACTTAATAACAATATCACTTGAGCGTTACAATTAATACAGAATTTTAAAAGATTTAATAAGTCCTGAAAGTTTCATTAAAATCTGACTTTATACAAGAATACAATGTGTTTTTACGACAAAAAGACACTAAAATTTCTCGTAAAAATTTATGGTTCCACATTAACGACAGAAATATAAGATTTTTTAACAAAAATTTCGAAAGTTCTGAAAAGGATTTAAAAATAATTTTACATAAAAAAATCCTTTGAGTTTTCCTCGTAATAACATAAAGATGTTGACGATAAAAGTTTGCTTTTATTAAGTTTTTGTCATTTCTTTTCATCAATGCATACTCATTTTTAACAAATCTTTGGATATATATATATATATGTGTGTGTGTGTGTTTATACGTCATTTTTATAGATACAAATATTTAAGTAAATGCTCTGTTTATATTATTAAAATCTTTATAGTATTAACTACATTTACCGGCTTGAATGTCCGAGAAATCTCAAACAGAATATGTCCTCCGACAGGAATCGAACTTGTATCCTACACGGAACCGTCATATAGCCTGACGTGCTATACTGTTTAGCAACAGAGCACGTCAGGCTATATGACGGTTCCGTGTAGGATATAGGTTCGATTCCTGTTGGAGGACGTATTTTCTATGAAATTTTTCGGACATTCAGGACGTTAAATATAATTAATACTGTTTATAAATAGAGCATTTGGTAAAATATTTTATCTTTAAAAATGACGTGTAAACAGAAAATATATTAAATTAATTGTCGGACTTAGTCCATTTCATTTTATATATATATATATATATATATATATATATATATATATATAAATATATATATATATATATATATATATATATATGCAAAAAGAAAAACGATTTTTACCGATGCGTTTCGTTGCCTGATGGAATTTTTTAATCTAAGAACGCTCATAAATATTCTTTCATGCTAACTTGCGAACATGAGAAAATGTTGCAATTTCTTTTATAATTATTATTTATTAATTTATATTTTAATTTGATAAATTGTTTATGCTTGTATTAATTTTAAATAATGGAAGGTTTTGAATTTAACTGTTTCCTTTTAATTTAAAAAAAAATTATGGTCATGTACGTTGGCTTGGGAAAAGAGTATTTCTTTTAGGAAAGGGGAAACGAATAATGAAGGTGATTTTGTTTACTGATCTGCAGGTGTAGTAGTCAAAAGTTATCAAGGGAGGTAATTATATCTTAAACACAGTTGTCTTGTTTATGATCTAAGGGAGGTAAGTTGAGATGCTGGGATGAAAAATTGCAAGTGAACACAATTGAACGATGTCAGAGAAAACATAGAAGTCTCTTTGAAGTTTACTCAGCTATTTATTAGCCTCACACTCAATCAACTTTATTACGAGGTTTAAAACCATAAAGAAAAAAAAATCTGATGTTTGGGGAATGGATTCAAAATGGATTTACCGAAAGGGATATCAGGCATGGTTTATCTTACGTTTCTTCTCGACAGGGAAAATATCCTTTTTGGAGATTATAACGAGGAAAAATGAATTAATCACGAGAATCCCAAAGTGATAAAAATCATTGTTAAACCCAGGACAAAATCGTTATTATCCACCACTTTTTAATTTTGGCTAAAAATATCTTAAAATAATATCTCTATCTATAAAAGGATGTGTGTGTGTAACGAATGCACGGCCGCAATTTTCGACGGATTTGCACCAAAATTTACATACACATGCTCCAAGTTAGCAGGAAGGCTAAGACCAACTTTGCATTTCCCAACTCCCATCGATAGCGGAAATAATCGATTTTATCTTGCTTCTACGGCAGTTTTCATGTAGTTTGCGGCCATTTTCTACTGGTCAGAGTGAGAGCCTATAGCTGGCTGCCATGAATAGGCAGGAAGATTCTATTGGCCAGTGTGAGAGCCAACAGCTAACTGACACGAATGTTAACTAGCATGCTAGCATGCAAAAAAATCGATAGCTGCATTCGTCACAAGTGGGAAAAATTTAAATCTGCATGGCACTTTACTCCAATTGGCTCATTCACTTGCTTAAACTCAACGTTGATTCTGATTCCGCATAACTGGGTTGGTGTGAAAAAGTATTTGTTGTTAACATTCTTTTTTCATTCGGTTTTTCCAGTTACGAGTCCTTTTTTAAAGCTGATCGTTTTGTGTTCATTTTGTTTAGTTCTTTTTTTCGTAACAGATTTAATGTTTAGTATAGAGCTTCGAAAAAATTCGCAGTGTGAGATAGGCAAGAAGTAAGGCATGTAGCAACATCAGCACGGCAAAGGGCACTCCTTTAAAGGCAAGGAAGGGCAAAAATATTTTAAGTCAAGTGATAGCGATTGCTGTATGAGTGGTACGATTTTTGAATCAAGCACGGTCAACGCCGGGCCATGCTGCTAGTAATTATTATAATTATAGCAAAAAAGTATCTTAATATCAAAGTGCAATAAAATAAAAAAAAATCAACATACTGACTTGCCATGTCAGTTGAATTTAACCACACACACACACACACACACATATATATTTATATATATATATATTTAAACGTTACTTTTGAAATGGATACTCATGTTTGAGTAGATGCTCTGTTTTATTTATTAAATAGTATATTTATTTATTTACATCTACTGGCTTGAATATTCGAGAAATTTTGTTAGAAAAATATGCGTCCTGTTTATATATGTAAAATGTATGTGCTACTTTTTCTTTCTGAATGACATTTCTCTAAGCTTTTTAAAGTTATCGTTAACAGTACTTGTTTGTTACTTGGTCATGATTTGCATTTCTGTCACCAACCTTAAACAACCGAAAATCTGTCAGCCAGAGCAAAAAAAACAAAAAAAAAAAAAAAAAAAAAACACCCGATGCACTTGTTTCTTAGCTGCCCTGATGGTTCACCTACATCCGTAGATGCTCTACTCAATGAGCGAGAAGTCTGTCCCAGGCTTTTCAATACGACCGTTGATGAGAACTGTGTGCCTCGAATCCTCAATGAAGCTGTATATCGTTGCAAAGAATGCTTGAAAACAGGCACCTGCGTCCCCAGCTATGAAAACGTTTCGATTTGGAGAAAAAACTGCAGAGGGTTCTCAGATTGAAAACTTAAAGGTTGTCGTGGCTTGCATTTGTATTGTCGGAGTTAGCTCCTCCTTTAGTTCCTTAACCCTTCACCAGGAGTCTCTCTCCCTTGGCTATAAATACTGGCTGACCCTCTTTTTTTCCTCAGGCCTTGGGCCTTATACCACCTCGCATATGTGAGCTCTCACCAATACAGCGTTTCCCAAATTCTGGGAACACGCTAAGAACAATACACGTACGTACGAACACTCACCACCACACGCACACATAATATTCACCACACGCACTCAATATAACTGTCCATGTGCTCGTAACTTGTTGTTAATACATATATTTGTTTACATATATTTATCGGTCTTATTTGTTTTTCTTTGGACTTAATTAAAGTCTAATATTCTCATGTGGTTGGCCCGGCTAGCAGGAAATTTGAACCCACATGTGTTCTTCTACAATACATACTCATCACCCAACGGTCCGCTACAGTATCATGGTTCAATCTTAATTTAACACAGAACTTTTTTTAAAAATCTTTTTATCGAGTAAAAACCTTTCAGGCAATGCTTTTTTTCTAATAGTGCACCATTCAGTTGTTTCTTATACATCTGAACTAAGTACTGAGTAAGGGGCATGCTCCAATGAAAATATAACTTCAATTCAATTATAATTCCTAAGAAATGCTTGAGGAACTTGATACGCATGAGAAATGTTAAAAGGGCAAGAGGGTTGTGGATAGTGAATAAACTACTTAATGAGATTATGTAAATAGATGACAGAACAGGAAATTGCAAGAATAATAGTATTTTTAAATGTCCTTTTTGTGTTTATATAGTCTTTCGTTTAAACTTCTTGAACTTTCTCCAATCTATTTTAAAAAGCAACACAGAAAAAAAAAAACGCATTGGTTATTCAGCTTATCAAAATCCGGTGAATAACCAAATCCGTATCGAGCGGGATGGATCGCCTCCTTGCTGGGATTTCGCGGGGTTTTTTTTTTAGTTCAGACACGTTAGCCTGTCTCACATGTTCCAACTGCATACAGCGTAATGGAAACGGACTAAAGAAACAGCGCGATGTCACCATTCGCTCGAATGCTTGTACGTATTTTATATATATATATATATATATATATATATATATATATATATATATATATATATATCATATAAAAGTGAACATAGAAGTCAACACTTAGAGGCAACAGTCTGTTTCATGCTAGATGCAATCGACTTCTATGTTCACTTTTATATGTACACACGCTCTATCTCTGATATTGAGCAATTTATCCCATAAATATAGCACATCGTAAGACTATATTTCTTCATATATAATATTATATATATATATATATATATATATATATATATATATATATATATATATACAAAAACTCACCCATGATCCCACGAATCATTTCATATTAGAGCTCTAGAATTACACAATCTAATTAGCTATTTAGATCAAAGTGGATCACAGAAGTTAAAGCTTTAGTCCCGGAAAAACCTATACCAATTACATCCTACCCTACAATGACCAAATTCTCAAACTGCTACTACCAGAATTCCAAGGTATATCAAAGACACTACCCATCAAAAATTTTGAAAAATATAGATTACCAAACGATTCCTTCCAAGTGACAATGGATTTGATATCCTTATATTTTAACATCCTACACGAGGAGGGAATACGAGACTACGAATTTTTCACGTACCAGACACTTTCAGACGCTTTACAGCATTATACACTTTATACTTACGCACAATTTTGAGTTCAACGGGCACCAATTTCTTCAAGTAAGAGACACGGCGATGGGAACGAAAGTGGCTCCCAGCTATACAAACATATTCATTGATGCCCTAGGCCGATATATATTGAGTAGACATCACTTAGCAACTCTACACTGCTACAGATACATAGATGATATCTTTATATGGATACACAGAGAGAACAGTCTCCAAGAGTTAAAAAAAAAACAACATGTTTCCATCACATCATCAAATCCACAATGAAATGTTCCCTCACTTCTTTTCCGTTTCTGGATGTCCTGGTACGTTTAAATAATAGCCATATCTCCACTACACTATATCATCAAAGCCACGGTCATTGCGTGTCCGTCAACCTTAAACAATAATCTTTGTCAATTTTATTTTTCAGTCTTTATGATGGTCGATACTTGATCTATCTCTTACTGTTACATCCCCGGGCAACGCCGGGCTCTACTGCTAGTATGTAATATATATGTAATATGTAATATATAATGTACAGATGTAATTAACATTTTAATATTGATAATAACATTCACCAGCCGAGAAGAAAGACGCAGATCGGAGTTGAAATTTATTTTCAAAATAAATTCAAACATTGAACGGGAATTTTGAGCATAATTTCCACATTGAGAACTCTAAACATCAACATTCCTTGGAAGAGTACGTCCCACTTCTTTCTTTATTCTTCGTATCGTTGAAAAAGAACACAGTCGTGTCCGAAAATTCCGACGTTGAAATCAATCTCTCCGTGCTTCTAATCCGTGAAGAAGTTAATATATAATAAATATCAATTTTATTGACAACAATGGTATCATTTTGTTGGCTTTTTATTCTTCAAATTTTTTAACTGGGCTATTAAATCTACATTTTATATTTCTGCTCCACGTCGTGTTTGTGTCTATATATATATATATTTACTAATTTAAAAATATGGTTCTATCGCTACACAGGGGCGCGGCCTCGGGCGGCTGTTCCCCAGGGCCGGCACCTCTCGGTATAATTTTCTTCAGTTGCGACTCTGTCCTTCGACGGAGCCGCCCCTGAACGCACCCGGTCCAAAGACGGAGACGCAACTGAGAAATGATAAATAGGGTGTTACAAACTCCTCGAGAGCAATTTGTAGTTAGTTCACATATTTTGAATATCTTTTAGGTTTTTTATAAAGTTTTGAATCATTTTTTAAGTCTATTTGTTTATAAAAAGGATAAATAAAAAATCTTTATAAAATGACAAATAAATATCACGTATTTACTTCATGGATTTTTATAATCTTGCAAAAAAAACAAAACATTGCCATTGAGAGTCTCGGTAGTATACAGTAATAGCAGTGTCAAGGAAATAGCCATCCATTTTGGAATATAGTGGAACCTCCGTTCACGAATTTAATTCATTCCTGAAGGCCATCCGTAACCCGAAATCTTCGTAAACCGAAACTATTTTTCCAATAGGAGTCAATGTAGAGAAAAAAAAGTCACAGTACAATAAAAATTGGAAAAGAAAAGATCGACACACGAATGTATACAACATGGCGGTCGACTCAGAAATTATTCCGTTCGGGTTAACTCGGTTCGACAATGTTGTTCGAGAACCGAAATTTTGTTCGATAACCGAGGCATTTTCAGCTCGAATTTTCTGTTCGAAAACCGCCGTGAGACGTTCAAGAACCGAGATTGCTCTGTACCATTTTTTTTTAAATTTTTTTTTTTTTTTTTGCTGACATGCAGGTTAAACTTTGCCTTTGAAGATATCGCAGTTAATTTGTGACTTCGAAAGAGTCTTTTCTCAAAGGGGAGGGCCTAGGCTTTCTTTCTAAATATCTACTCCACCACCTGTCATCCTTTACCACCTTTCTGTACTCCCACTCACGTGCATTGAACTAGCTAATAGCAGAGAGGTCTCTGGGGTCAGATGAAGTCTACTAACTCTATGCTTCCGGAAAGCCGGACATTGTAATCCGGAAGCATTCTTTAAAATTCCTTGGTCGGATGTGTACAAAAGATGATTAAAAACGGAGGTGCCATGAATTTTCGGCTTTGAGAAACGTGCACTCGAATGAAGGATAGGCCCATTGTTTACCCCGAAACTAGTGTAGTGGTATAGTAATACGTATGGACCATTTGTAGATGTCTGTTACGGCTGCATAAATAACCTGACCACACAATTTATATTTAACGTTAAAATACCACATAACATGAAATACAAGAAGGACCAAAATGGTTTTAAAATGATAATATTTGTATTTATTTTTGTGTATTGATGTACATGTGTAGAAATTAAAGTTCTGTTGGTGTTATATCCCTTAAATTTTGAAATATTTTTATCTGAGCTCATAAAAGTTGAATTAATTATAAAGCTGAGAAATGCTAAATAAACTGTAGCTTTGGAAGAATATTTCAAAGAGAAAGGTTCTTATTGTTTGTTTGGAAATGTTTCGTATCTTTGTAATGTAGTTTGGAAAATTTCGTACGCACGTGCATGCGTGAATATGCTTTTAACGTCTGACTTGCCCATGGTCTAGACGAGAATCCTTTTAAGACTATACCTTGTAGCGAGAAGAGAGAGGGAGCAGCAAGTTTGTGTCTGCTATTTATAATTGTTGTAATCACGTGACAGGCTCACTGAAAATGGCGGAAAAACTTGACTTTGCCTCACGCTGGAAAATATTTTTCTTTTACTTTTGTGTTTATTGACTAATTAGAAGCTGATATTTCCTGAAAATATTTACTAAGCTGAGTAGGCTCTCTGATCCACTTTTTGCACAAAATTGTACAAAATTCAACATTGATAAGAAAGTGATACCCCACTCCGAAAAAAAGTTGCAGGAACGAAAAATTTCAATATGTAAAAAGTTATAAACTGAACAGAGAAATTGTTGAAGATGAAAAATTGCCGAAATTATGTGCGGTGTCAGGGTGCTGAAATTATATTCGGAGTGAATGTATAGCTCAGTCTGAGTGAATGTATGTCGACGGAATGGCACGTGTCTTCAGGATAAATTGCTGTTAGCCGACGTTGTTGTGTTTAAAATGCTTGCTTTAAGTTCCAATGCTCCGCGTAGATTCAGTAGTGTACTGTAGAATGCATGCGGATTTATGTTGGAGTGAGAACGTCATGGCGAAGTTAAAAAAATTTGCTTATTAATAACCAGGTAATATTTGGTGAATATCGTCAGCAAGTTTTTATGTGAAAGTTGCGTCTCGTAGAATGTATTTCAGGACAGTGGGTCGTCCGAAGATTGTGTCGCGCAGAATTTATTGGAGTCATATGGGAGGTAACGCAACAACTAAACTGATGATAGCAGGTAGGGACAAAGAAACCGTGAGGAGGTGTCGCACGTCCAACCTTCTCACGAGCCGAAAGCTCTCTGATCCGAAACAGCAAAACGCGCCTGCTTTATACAGCCGGGGACCGACCACGATTTGCATACGAATGACGAGACGACGAGATTTCGCGTTAACTAACCGAGACCACCCGGCATAAAATATGGGCGTCGCCATTTTGGTTCCTTTTACCGTTGGGAGAACCGGAGTTTGCACACTGCACAGGTTCGCAGGAGTTTCCGAGGTAAGCCATTTTCACAATTTTCCCCACACTCCCCCCTGATCTCATGATCACAAACAGGGCAAGGAGGTGGCGATCGTTGCCGTCGAGTCCCCCTCCAAAGGGGGACAGCACAAGCTTCATCCTCGTGCGTGTTCTCGTCTGTGGTTTGAGTGTCGGTAAACACTGTGTCCGCCGGGAGGCTGCTGTTATCAGAATCACTGCCCTGCAGGTCTAACTCAAGGTAGATCGAACGCTCACTACTCTCAGACTCGGAATCTCTTTCATCGCTCAGTAACGGTAGTGATTGCATCACCGGTCGCAAGTCTTTAATGTGACGAGGCACCCCATCAACTCTCACAGATTGCGGGCTGATCACCTCCGGAACACGTCCAGTGCCGTATTTTGTCGTACACTTGCCGTGTGGGTTTTTGACCCAAACAACGTCTCCTTTTTTCAATCTCCCTCCAGTCACTTCTGGTTCAGGCAACGGGTTGGCTTCGATGCCTTTCACACGGACATGATATTTGTGCAGTGCATCAGCCGGCGCCGTGGATGGTGAAACGTTATCTTTCGGGGCGACATTATACCAGTAAACCGCTTCCGATACTGTACAGCCCTTCCTGGCTGCGATGGTCTTGATGGTTCTGTGGTTCGCTCCACGATGCCGTTTTCACTTGGCGAGTAGGCACATCGAAACCGCAGATGCAAGTCCCAATTGTTCGCAAATTCTTTAAAGTCTTTACTGGTGAATGCAGTATCGCTGTCCGTCAGTATTTCCATGGGTGGGCCTCGCTCCAGGAAAACATTCTCCAACAGTCGAATGACGGTGCTCGCGTCTTGTCTGCGCAGCGGCCGCCATACCGCAAACCTGGAGGGACCGCAATCAATAAGCGTTAAAAAATTCTCACCATTGTAGTGAGTTATGGACATCGTCTGTCTGCTCCAGTTGCTCTTCACGCTCAGTTCTCCTCTCTCCCAGTGAACGGGGGCCGGATCGACCGACTGACAGGTTGTGCAGGCCTTCACAACAGATTTAACGCTTTCTCTGGACACCTGCGGGTCGGCTAACCTGGCGAAGTACAGACTTCGTTTCACGCCCGGATGTCCGCATTGACGATGGGTATTGGCCACCTGGTCCTCGTCCAGTCGTCTCCCTACCACTGCACAGCTTTCGAGCGCCGGTTCTCCTCTCTTGAGCAGTTCTAGCCACCTGTGCGGTACTCTGGTGAGGCGATCCGCACGGTTCTGACAGGACTGTACGAGTGTCACGTCTATGGCCAATCCATATTCTTCCACCAGCGATCGCAAAATGCCCAGCCGTCGCCTAACCAGCATCTCGCCAGCCGCCCTTGTGTTCACCCGTGCCTTCCTGGTCAAGGTGTCTGAAATCCCCCGGTGCACACACGCCGAATCAGTAACCACGTGCAATGTTGTCGCCTTCCACTGGAGAGCTAGATTCACTCCTTTAAGCGCCGCATCGAGTTCAGCCAAATTAATATACCTGGCATCATTAGTCGGACGCAGCCAGCACGCATCTTCGATGACATTTCCGTTCGCTTCAATGCCACTCCTGTCGCCATGGAACTCGCATCCACCCAGACTGTGATCTCGTCACCACTCATGCACCAGTCTCCTCCAATGGGATCCAGTTCCCACTCTACTTAACATCTCCGCTAGTATGCGACAGAGAGGGGATCTTTGATGTTATCATCCCATCCATTGGTTGCTGCGGTTGCCAGGCGCTTGAAGAATGCAACTGCCACCCTGAGCCATCCACACACGGGGAAATGTCCAACAAGTTTCTCACACAATGAAAACACGCGCCGCCAGGTCAACACATCAGGGACTTCCGGAATTTGACTTCCTCGTTTCCATCGGAGGGTGCCATTTTCTTCCCAGACTTGCAAGCCAAGAACTCTTGCTCCATCTCTCAGTCGCACCGGATCCTTGCACACCAAACCGTAATCAGAAAAGTGTTGTCTTACACGCGATGCAGAGGAAAAACTTTCATTAATGAAGATATCATCAACGTATGCTGATGTGGCACTTTCAATTGTGCGGTCTTGCGATGCGATGGCGTCTATAACGGATTTCATAATGAGTGGCGCCACATTTAGCCCAAATCCTAGCCGCGTAAGACAGAAGCGTTGGCCTTTGAAAATAACCGTTTGAAATGGCCACAGCGCTTCGTCGATGTGAATCTGAAGATATGCGTTCCGCAGATCCAGAAGCGACACATTGACCCCCTGCCGCCGCCACGTTCTCAACTTATGTGCGCACACTTCTGCATCGGCAGTGAAAGCATCCACAAAGTAATTCGCGGTAATCGAGTACCGGACGCACCTTCTGTTTCTGCTCCTGCACGACTGCCATCAAGGGAATCAGACCCTTTGGGGGTCCCAGTCTTTCCTGGGGGTACGGAATCAACCAGCCGTTCAAAATCCACTGCTGAAGCTCTTTCTCGTATTTTCCTCTGATGCTGTCGGGAACTTTGTACTCTGCGACCTTGTTGCGAAGCTGAACTGGTGGATCTTTTGGGGCCCATTTCCACCTGGCGGTCCACACCCTTTCGTCGGAATTGAAAGAGACGTCGAAATCCGGCTCACTAATGCAAAGGGCTGCACACACCTTTCTTCCTTTACCCAGTTCCACATTTCCGGCTGGCGTGATTATCATGCCTCCTAACGCTCGGATCGCATCAATCCCAAGCAGCAGGTCGTACCCGAGGGGCCTTTGACGTGCCACCAAAACCTTGGCATGATTCCCTCCGTCTGCGAGGACTGATACAGTCCCGACACCACAACAGGCCCAGGACACTCCGTCAATCATCCGAATCTCCATTTGTTGACTGCTCCATGTCACGCATCGATCCGCACTAACGATCGATCGGGAACATCCAGTGTCAACGAGCGCCGAACATCGTTTACCCTCAACGTACACGTTGACAACAGGCAATGCCGCATTTACTGACCGAGAGGGGGCAAGGGTTGCGACAGCACCTTGTCCCCGGACTCGTTTCCCGAGCAATCCTGTGCTACATGGCTTAACTCTTTGCAGCGATAGCAGCGTAGTCGTGCTCGGTCCGTCGGCTGCTCCTACGTCACTTCGGCTCCGGCAGTCCCTAGAGAAATGGTTGGGTCCACCGCACTTGTAGCACTTTGGGCCCTCCCTCGGTGTCTCAGGCGTTCTCACGGCTGCCGCGACCTGTTCCGTGTCTTTCAAGATGTTTCGGGCCCTGGCTAGCAATTCGTCAATTCCCAGTGTGTCCAATCTTGAAGACGCTCGCAGGAGCCGACTGGTGTCGTCGGGAAGTCATGCCAGGAAGGCGCACCCAAGTATGCGGTCCGTTGCTCCGCCAAACGGTACTGCCAGCCTTCGCAAATCAGCCAGGTAGACATCCACGATCTCACCCGGCTCGAGCCGTCGTCCGACGAACTGTTTCCAAGCGATGAAGGGGTCTATTCCAAAGGCCGTATATAGGGTGCCCTTGATCTCTTCTAGGTCAGCATCGTCCCCGAGTTGTTGATATACGGCGTAGGCTCCCCCATGAGTTTCAGTGGGATGACCAGTGCAGGATCCTTTATTTTGGACACCCTGCAAACACGTTCGGCCTTTTCAAACCATTCGACGACAGTCGGGCCCGTGGGGGAGCCGTTGAATTCTGGGATCAATTTTAGATCGAACTTGTCCATCGCCGAAATAGCTTGTGGGAGGTAACGCAACACCTCAACTGATGATAGCAGGTAGGAACAAAGAAACAGTGGGCGGCCGTACACCCGTTGTATGAACTTATTGTTGGCTATTTGGTTCGCATGCTGCGCAGATAACTTTTTGTCTTGGAACCCTGTTACATTTTTAGAAATGTGAGCACATTTTGGACAAGAAAAAAAAAAACAGTATGGTGCGTGTGTAACATGGACGACGCGGATGAATGAAGTTCCTGGAAAATTGCCTCTACTCTGGTTGCGTTCTTCATGCACCAGCTGAAGGTCAAGATTTAAATCACCCTCCTATAGATTACACTGTCATCTCAATATGAATTTACTAACGGTTTGAATTACTTCCCTTTTATCATAAACCAGACAAATGTGTAATCATATTTTAAAGATTTAATTACCTCCATTGTACGTCTGGTGCGTGTGACTAACGTTGAGTGGCATTTCGAGTTCACTAATTAAAGAGCATGTCCTTATGAGAAAAAACTCTTATAAAATAAAATATATATTATGGACACTTGTCTTAAGACAAAGTGCCCATTATATATCTTATTCATAAATGCAATTAAATTTTTTCTAATTAAATAATGTCTTAGTTTTATTACATTTTTTATTTTACGATTCAGAGCAGATTTTCTGTAACTATAAAATAAATTGACGATTTAAAATTTCCGAGGACTTGTTTTGGGAACAAATATAAGCATTAAACGATGTAAAATCGAATTTCTCGAAATTTCATAAAAGTGGGAGGGCGTAAGAGACGTAAAAACAACAAACACACAAAAACAACTACAAATAAAATTACAAATAATTTCTAAAAAGAAAAAAAAAAAATTAAAATCCCATTTATTTCTGAAAGTCCTGAAAGTTTAATTAAAATCTGACAATTATTTGATTTTTTGCAAGTATTTCCAGATAAATATTTTTTCACCGAAAAATACACTAAAATTTCTCATGACAAATTCAAGATCCTGCATTGACAAGATTTTAAACCAAAATTTCTAAGTTTCTAAAATGCAATAAAAAATATACATGAAGATTTTCTTCATAATAATATCACAAAAAATATACTTCGGGAATTTTTCTTTTTTCATTTATTTATATATTTTTATCAACGAATTTTTGGAGATATGTTTTATTTTTTGTTACGCCTACCTTTTGCAAACAGTTAACTTATTTTTCTATCAGAATTTAGATCATGCTTTCTTGATATTCGCTGTAAATAATTTTTATTTCAAATCATTGATGATTTTTTAAAAATCGTCCTCCAAAAGATGACGCTGGCATCTCAATATGAATTTACTAAAGATTTGAATTACTTTCGTTTGACCATAAACACGACAAATGTGTAATCATATTTTAAAGATTTAATTACCTCCCTTGAACCATTTTGCCCAGTCCACCCGCAGATCAGAAAAGAACAATCTTCTTCATTCGGATGCGCCGGCAGCATACGGTTTATCAGCGTAGGAAGTACAGTCAACAAGCCAAATTTATATACGAGTCTGTTGCGCTTAATTTATGCTGATAGTCTTGGGAAAGGCATGAGTGCATCTCTTCTACTTATTCAAAACCAGAGTTATGAGCAGTGTGGACACTTAAGATGACAGCCAATATCAGAGAAGGAAAATTCTGAATTCAAATTAATAGGAGATGCAACCATTGTCGATAGATTATCAACCTTTAGTTTTTATAATAGAGATAATCCCTATCCCAAAAAGTGCCTACGACGCTATCCAAAGGTATTCGTCAAGCTGTGCTTTGCCATGTTCTGAATTGTACTTATTCTTTATTTTTAATTAAGTAATATTAAGATTTTCTGAACTTTTGGAACACAAAATAATTAAGACTCAGGCAAACCAATTTTTTCCGGGTTCATATACAAACACACTCTTTAGGCAGCAATCCATTTATTTTATACATGTTTCGTTTAACGTAACAGATAAGGGAAAAGTAACCGGAGAATAACCGACAGTTGTTCCAAGTTCAATACTTCAGTCCCTTTTGATGAAAATATGTCTTTATTTTCTTTAAAAACTGTCAACTGTCGATGTTTGACAACGTAACTGGAAAATAGTTTTTGAGAGTTAAAAAGAAAAAAAAAACGATTATTACTTGCTGATTATCTCACTAAATAACACAGTAGATTTGTATATATTTGCTTTTAACTTTTTATGTCGCCAATGCAAAGATTATACGTAGAGTTACCTCCCCTACATTAGCGATTTTTTTTATATACTTAAAAGATTCCCAAGGCCCGACTTTGGACAGGAAAGTTTCAAAATAATATTAGCTTAAGTCCCAGGTGGGCAGCCCACAGGCAGTACTGGAGGGGACTGGAGTCATTACTCGGCGACTTAGGCGTCCTCAAATAAGGAAATGCCGAGAGTGAAGAGGGGTGAGCAATTTTTCCACGGTAATGTCGTTAAACCTTGACCATGTGTAACATTCAGTAGCAACATGGACGCACTGAAAAAATCCCACATAAGAAAATCTAAGCTTATAGTCAGGACTTAACAAAATATGCTTTGTCACTTTTGACAACGCGAGTAAACTAATTCGTAAATAAACTACTATTTTGGTCAGTAGGGTAATTTCGGAGACGACTTTCCGGAGAGTCTGGATGACGTCATACTCTTGCAATTATACAACGTGAAGACGAAACATTGTTTCGTTTTGAATAGAACACATTTATGCAGAAATATGATACAGTCTTAGCAGAAGGTGTTAAAAACTAATTTGTCCACTGGGTATAATTAAACAAGTAGAAATGCTGATAAAGGAATGAAAAAAAAAAGCCTCTTAATAAAACGTAAAAACGTTTCACCAAAGATAGCAATGTTGAGTCGGTATCTCTCGATATCTTGAGTCTGTATTTCTCGTCTAAGTTTCTTGTCGGTTTGTATCTGAATATTAGTCTTGCTTTATTTTTCCGAGCGTTTGGTATTGTCAGTGTAACATTTTGTATATAAGGGGAGATAATTAATTATGGTTATCGAAGTAATTGATTTATAATATTAATGGTCTGTAAATTTATTGAGCACTATTTTGTAAAAATAAAAATATCTATAAGAACACCGGATTATATATCTTACTGTTCTTTCTTTATATATACACACACACACACACACACACACACACACACACACACACGCGCGCGCACACACACACACACACACATATATATATATATATAATAAATTAATTGATTTAAAATATGTTTTTTTTCGCTACACAGTTCTAACCATGTTTCAAAAATGGAAGCTGAAAGCTCCGAATTTAATTTTCCAATTAAATTAAAGACATTAGTTCCATTTCATCCTCAAGCGAATTTTGGAGTAACTTTTAAAATGACTGGGTTTTAGCTTCCATTTTTTTTTGAAACATGGTTAGAACTGTGTAGCGAAAAAAAACATATTTTAAATCAATTAATTATAATATTAATGCTCTGTAAATTTACATTGAGCACTATTTTGTAAAAATAAAAATATCTATAAGAACACCGGATTATATATCTTACTGTTCTTTCTTTTTTTTATACACACACACACACACACACACACACACACACACACACACACACACACACACACATATATATATATATATATATATATATATATGTGTGTTAAAAAATGTGTATATACATATAAATAAATATATATATGTATAATTATTTATATATTATATACGCAGTACTTATTAGAAAGCGCTCAATATCAGAGATAGAGCTAACATATAAAGAGAGATATGTATATAGGGAAACGCGAATGACAAAGTGGAGGACTTCACTGGACTAAATTTGTTATCTTGGTGCGACTACACATGCACATGAACGAGGATTGGTAGGAATTTAAAAATATTCTTTTTCCTTTTGTTTCCATTACTTTTGTTATTAGATATCCCTTACTGTGATAATAGAAGTTCTGTCATGAATTGTGAAATGTTGTAAGAACGAGGTTGCAAATTTACTCTGGTTGACCTGACGATGAAGGCATTCTCTAAACATTTTCGTTGTAATTCATAGTTTTCTCCTTTGATCAGAGTAACATTTTTCATGTTAAAATTGTAGTCAGTCTCATTACGGTGGACAACCAACACATTTGATGTATTGTTTTGTATAATGTCCCTTTTCTGTTCATATTATCTTTTATTTAGGTTCCTTGAGATTTATCCTGCTTATCATTTTTTTGTAAAATTATTACAGGCGATTGAATAAATTCATCCTTCAAGTTCTAGCTTATTGTTTTGTTTAGTATTGACTAAGTCTTTTATTGTTTTAGATGTACTAGTAACAAATTGTATGTTGAGTTTAAATAAAGTCTTTTCAGTTGTAGATGTGGTAGAGTTAGTTGTTAGGACGATATATTTTTTGATTCACTGAGTTTGTCATGAGAGGCCATTTTTTTTTTATTTTGGAATATTTTTATATGTAATTACATAAGAAAAAAAAAAAAAGCTGAATAGAATTAGTAGTAGAAAAAGAAAGAAACAAGGTAAGAGAGACCAAGAATTTGTAGCAAAGAATGAGAGTCAAATTTTGCAACCCCAGATATTATTTTGTCCTCTTTTGTTGCATGGGTACGAACATGTCTTCGTTTTGTTCAATTGTTCTTTGACCAAATCAAGTAGGTTTGCTGTCAAAACCAGGATTCAGACGAAGAGAGAGAGAGAGAGAGAGATAGAGGGACAGAGGAGAGGGAGAGAGAGAGAGGGACAGAGAGAGGTAGAGAGAGGGGAGAGGGAAAAAGAGGAACAGAGGGAGAGAGAGAGTGAGAGAGGTAGAGAGAGAGGGGAGAGGGAGAGAGAGGAACAGAGGGAGAGAGAGAGGGAGAGAGAGGAGGGAGAGAGAGAGAGAGGGAGAGAGAACCAGTGGGAAGAGTGCAGACGGTTGAGGGCAGCATCAACCCCAATAAAGCAAGATGCGATTTTCACTTGCAAGAGATAATTATGTCCTTTCAGGGTCCCTTTTTCCATAGACTTATGATGAAAAACGATATTATTTGATACAATAAATATTTATTTTCTAACATTATCTTCTTCCTTGTCATTATACTCAATTTAATTAATCACAGAGATAAAACTTTTAAGATTAAAATTCTGCTAAGAACTACGTTAGACTATAGACATACTGACCGACACCCGTATATATATATATATATATATATATATATATATAATATAGTAGATCTGAATTTATTTTATTATGTCGACTAACAGTCATAGGCGGATCTTGGTAGTAGATATTTATTTGCCCCCCACTGAGTCAGGTTGTGACACAAGGTCAGTTTTTAACGTGCGGACCCGAATGTTTTCACTCGGGTTGCTGGTCCAAGCTGGTCTTAATTTGTCATAGCTTGTCCAAGCTGGTCAGAGCTGGTCTAAGCTAGTCGTAGCTGGTCTTGGCTTGTACTAGCTGGTCCAGGCCGGAGCCGGTCCAAGATAGTCCTAGTCGTGATACCACCAGCCCAGGTGCCAGGTAAGTATCTTGGTAGTATACCGTAAGAGGTGGAACTTTCACAGCAGTAACTTATAATATTTTGTCTGAAATCCAACAAAATGGCGTCTGGTATGAAAGTGCGCAATTAACCTATTGCGAAAAAAAAACAAACAAAACAAACAAAAAAACAAAACAAACAAAAAAACAAAACAACTGCAACCATTGCTTTCGGTGGAGACCGAAGATATTATACTCCCAATACCAAATTCTTCTTAGAATGTCTTGGATTATACATGTATTAATCCGTCTTCAGATATACTCATTTTTATTAGAATGTATTTCGGTTTGCTGTCGTGACTAAATATCACTGTTGCACAAATTTTATTATTCCATAACAGGCTGACTAGAATATCCTGTATGGAGCTAATTTTAAGTAAACATTTGCATTTAACATATTTTTTGGTATGCTACTGACTATATGACAAAACTGATATTCTATTTGAATATTTTTTCCTACGATAGGACAAACGGTTGTCCCGATGAAACACAAATTTTCAGAAGCTCTAAGGACAAAAGAAAGGTGATTTTTATGTCCTTACATGTTCCTTTTTTTTCCAAATGAATATTTTGCAATATTTACATGTTTCTTGCTGGCAAAATTAATGGCATATATCATTATTTGGGCCATCATTATTTGGTCCATTTTGGACAATAAATTTGGTCCTTCATTATTTGGTCCATTTTGAACAGTAAATTGTCCTAGCAAGCTGCTAAATTTAACTGTTTGGTCACTTTGTACGCATATGGTTTTCTAATGCTCATCAAACCCTTGACGATTTTACTATTTGAAACTAAATGAAAAATAATATATGCATCAGTTCTTGATAGATTTAGAAATATAAATAATATCATATGGAAAAATTTAATGCCAATATGTATGTGGGCCAATTTTTTTTAAAAAGGTAGGGCCGCTTTATGGGATGCTGAGGTACATGCTGAATCTTTGTTCAATTTAAGTGGAATTAAAAAATATCATTGTGTTTTCTCTTATAGCTCACGTTAATCATGTGGACAATGTCTTGTACAGAAATGGAAACATTTAAGGTTCAGAGCCAAATTTATGGTAAAAATACATTTCTGAAACTATTTTAGTGCTGTCATTTAATTTGAGGAGAATTCAATAAAAAATTATACAAAATATTCAGTTTTTTGTTGTGTATGACCTATTTGCTCATGTGTCCCTATTGTTGCTTCATTTATGAACATATACGGATGGTTTTTGCCCGGGAAAATGGTGCAAGAAAGTTAATAACAAGCGGTGGAATACTGCGCAATGAAAAGTACAGTTTTTCTATGGTTCCCACATATTACCAGATATAGTAGGTGAAATTAATCCAACAAAATGGAGCGACTTACAAAGCAATGAGTGCAATAAATAACTTCCTCACTGATGAAGACGTTTCAGCATTACATGATTGATTCAACCAAACCCCTAATCTCTATATGTCAGTGAACGTCATAATAAATACTGATTATGACTTTCAATGTCTTTAAGTATATAGACTAATTTAATGATACTTTACCTATAGTGACTTACATTAGGTCGGGACAAAACATTGTAGCATTTTTCAGTAGATGGTATTTGAACACGTGATTTTATTTCTGTTATGATCCAAGTTCCTTGTACCACGGTAATGGTCCAAAGTTAGAACCAATGAAAGAATAACACGGACACAGGTATGGAATACAAAGATATATTAGAACAGAAATATAATACAAAGAAGTATTAGTAATGACTACCAGATTTGGTTAGAGTGAACTATGTTGTCTCAACAAGTATCACAATTCCAATGTCCTTACAATATGCTCTCAATTATCGCACCTCGTATTACAATCTCCTCATACCTCTTGAGAGTCGCAGTATTTATAATGTCAGGAATAGTCCATTATTATTATTATGGGTAAGTTCCCATAACAATTTCATACACGACTTAAATTTATGACATATATACATATTTTGAAAGGTAACATTCCAATATTTCTTTCTATACAATTCGTGCGTGAATTTTAATTTTTTTATGTTAAAAGTTAAAATGGAGGAAAATGAGACGCATTTTCGTCATTTGATGCTGTTTTATTCCCGGAAAGGAAACGGCGTTGTAGAAGCAGGAAAAATATATGTACCTTTTATGGAGATGGTGTCATAGCTGAGATTACTGTTTGTAAGTGGCTCGGTAGGTTCAGAAATGGAAATTTTGATCTGGGAGTCCGACAATTTCCCGGTAGGCGTACAGTCGCTGATTGATGACCAACTCGCTGATTAAAAATGATATAGGTCACATGACATAGGGCATCGCAGAGATACTCCACAGATGTCATATGACCGTTGTAAGGCATTTGAAATGATTTGGATACGCGAATCTATATGTTTGACTATTACAATTTATCGGAAAACATTTAACGGACTGTATTTTCAATTTTCTCTACTCAAACGAAAACGACGCACTTTTGAAAAGAACGATGAAAAATAGACTGTTAACCACAACATGGATCGACAAAAATATGGCAAAAGTCTGTCTGCATCCGAAGAAGTAATGCTGTGTCTGGTGGAATTGGAAGGGTTATTGTGTACTAGCAGTAGAGCCCGGTGTTGCCCGGGGATGTAACAGTAAGAGATATATCAAGTATCGACCATCATGAAGACTGAAAAATTGACAAAGATTATTGCTTAAAGTTGACGGACACGCATGTCTTAATTATTTTTATTTTTTTTTTTTTTACGAATTGGTCAAACCCAAACTCAAACAAAAACATTGTCTTCAATCGTTATGAGTCTCTACAGATTGAATAGAATTTTATTATAAACAATTATCTTGTAAATGGAATTTTTAAAGCATTCTGAATGTAAAAATAAAGAAAAAAGAGTGCAAGACAATAAGAAACACTACCTGCCAAAAAAAAAAAGAGAAGTTTTGTTGAAATCGGTTGAAAAATGTAAGAAATCCGATCCATATATAAACGAACACACACACACACACACACACACAACCTGTGTTTTATAATAAGTATAACTCGATAACTCGATATTAATAAGTATAACTCGATATGAGTTGCCCCCATTTCATTAATGCCTATTAATCTTGTTTTCAAATTGATTTCGTGGAAAAACAATTGTGTTTTTCCAATTTTTGGTGCTGTCAGAACCACCACAAGGTAATTTTATGTAGTCCTGTGAAGTTTTGTTGAAATCGGTTGAAAAATGTAGGAAATCCGATCCAATATATGAACGTACACACATACACACACACACATACACACACACACATACACACACACACACAATCTGCGTTTTATAATAAGTAAGATGACAAGATCCTTCCACAAAATCAAACGTTGAATTCAGGCAATTGTTGTCCCCAGTTATACCGATTAAAGTTTGCAATCGATGAAAAGCTCCCGGAAATGTTCACCCAGAAGGGTTCAGTTGGAAATGCTCTGAAGGCGGCCCAGATCGACAGATACGGTCGAAATGTTGTGAATACAAAAATAAAGATGAGGAATTTAGTTCAAACGTAAAAATACGAGTAGATAGATTCACATATCGTCCGGTAACCCCCCCCCCAGTCTTTTGAACAGGAGTTACGATTTATCCCTCGTTTCCTGTTTAGTATTGGATTTTCGGTTCCTTTTAAAGTATGTACCTCCACTTGATAGTTGAAAAAACAGCATAGCTAGATGAAAAATCGCTCAAAACTTATTAAGAAAACTGTTTAACGTCAAAATGTTTTTTTATTATTAAGAGGAAAGACCAAAGTATGTTTTTTATTATTTTATTAAATTTTTAATCCTTACTAGCATGTTCGAAATTTTGGTTAAAAATCTCGTGTTTTTTTTTTTTTTTTTTTTTTTTTAACACAGCGGTCGACGCAATACTTACGATTATTTTTTTCCGGTGAAAAACACATTGATTGAAAATTCTTGCAAAAATCAAATAATTGTAGGATTTTAATGAAGCTTTCAGAACTTATTCACAAAAGAATGAATTTTTTTCGAATTTTCTTTTTTTTTTAGAAAATCTTGGTAAAATGTGTTTTTTTTTTTTTTACACATGTTACCCCCAACTTATTCAATTTTAGTTAAAAGAAAGGACTCCTTGGTGAATATAAATCATCAATTTAATATTTTCAACCCATTGCTCATTTCCCGAAAATCTGCTCCGAATCGTAAAATAAAAAAAAAAAATGCAATAAAACTATGACATTATTTAATTAGAAAATCTTTTAAATGCTTTTATAAATAAGATTTATTATGGATACTATTCTTTTAAGAGAAAAAAAAAATTCGATGAATCTTTGCAAGAATTGTTTTCATTTTTAAAAATTTTAATTGTAATAATTTATCGTTTAAAATTATATATTGCTTTCTTCCGGTTAGATTATATTGTTGTTAAGTGAAAACAATATT